GCTTTAGAATTGCCTTAAGACCTAGAATTGTGTGGACTTTTTGAGACTTCTGAAAAATCCTGCCACACTATGCATCATTTTTCCATTTATAACTAGAGCAGGTAGAAATAAATAATTTGTAAGCACTTCCTCAGTTTTTAAATTTGTTGCATATCAAATTAATGTTTTTCAATTCAATCCATATTTCCTAATTAAATATGTTTAGTGAAATGGTTGACTTGTTTCTAGTTCGTCTGTGCTTTGATGTGTTGCAGACATGTGATACTTCCCTCTGAAATCTATTGAATCTATCAAAGCACTAAAGGGACTTCTTAAGGAAATGGCAAAACCAATTCTACAGCTGTGCCAAATGAACCAATTTGCTGCTCAGTGTGGATAATTCTGTGAAGTTATAAAAGGTACTTAATTGACAAAATCACTTCTTGAGCAGTTTTACCTATAAAATAGGGAGAGGCTTGGAGGAGATCACTAAGGCTTGACTTTAGGTTTATGGTGATATTACTCAGATAAGAAATTCACACTAATACAGGTTGGTCATCCTAGAGAGAGTTGTGTAACTTAGTCATTGCTTTCATATACCCAACATTATCTGTAAGTAGCAGACCTCAACTGGGAGTGATATTTCCTCCTTAGACTGTAATGTCTGGAGTACAATCTAGGATTGTACTTGCTAGACTTAGCCAGTTCAAATATAGATGTTTGGTTGAATTTGATTTTGCCTCAACCCTCAATATTTTTAATGTGTGTTTCATGCCGATGCCACGGCTCACTAGGCTAATCCTCTGCCTTGCAGTGCTGGCACACTGGGTTCTAGTCCCGGTCGGGGTGCCAGATTCTGTCCCGGTTGCCCCTCTTCCAGGCCAGCTCTCTGCTGTGGCCAGGGAGTGCAGTGGAAGATGGTCCAAGTACTTGGTCCGTGCACCCCATGGGAGACCAGGATAAGTACCTGGCTCCTGCCATTGGATCAGCATGGTGCGCCGGCCGCAGCGCGCCAACCGTGGCGGCCATTGGAGGGTGAACCAACGGCAAAGAAAGACCTTTCTCTCTGTCTCTCTCTTTCACTGTCCACTCTGCCTGTCAAAAAAAAAGTGTGTTTCATGATATATTTCTAATGCACTAAAATATTATTTACTCTATGAAATTCAAGTTCATTTGGGAGTCCTGTATGGTATCTGACAACAAAAGGAAGGGTTGGGGGTTGCTACAGGCATCTTACTTATAGAAACCAGGGATGCTGCTAACCCTCCTGCCATTTGCCAGGCCACCATTATCTTGAATGTGTTTACATTTCACTGATTATGGATGTAGCAAGAATTGTCCAACACCAAATGTCTGAAGCGCTGGGGTCAGAAATTAAGACCTTTGTGAAGTCTGCTCATTCAGTTAGTGTAACATCCAATCTCTTGGGTTTTACATGTTACGGTAGTGACACTGGTTTGGTGTATTTTACTTTTTTGTAGTGGTTGTGGGAAGGAATGTTCTGAATTTTTTTCAAACATTTTTGACGTAATTGTACACATTTGTTGGGTGCAGTGTGATGTTTCAATTTATGTATACATTGTTTAATGAGCAATAATGCATATCTCACTTCAAGCATACCTTCTCTTCACAGTGGATCATGGAAAATCCTCTCTTCTGGCTATTTGGAAATATACATTAAAATATTGTTCACTCCTTCCATATTCTAATTTTATATGCTTCAGTCTGATCATGTTTAGAGACATCATTGTAGGTAAAAGGTGGAGGTAATCTTACCTGTCCCATCTTCTGTTGGTTTTATGAGAGATCTACAAAAGCACATTGAAAAGTTTCTAGAAAGCAATATTGAAGAACAAGTCTCTCATCCCCCTTTTCAAGTTGAAATTCACTTAAATTCCTATAACAGAACAAGCTGTCTTAGGGTCATCCTTAAAATCATAATCATGACCAAAAATCCAACAGTTTCAGAATTAGGTGCTTAGCACAATGAGTGCAAAGATGAATAAGGAAAAATTCAGAATCTTCAATTACCTAGACTTTTGAGTCCAGAGAAGCACACCAGACATGAAGTTAAATGACAAGCTCAGTAGTATATGTTACTACTACAAAAGTATGTTCATCAGTATAATAACTTACCCCCAAATTGGGCTCAGAATCAGCGCATAAATTCAAAACTTGCACTCTGAAAAGACTCATTTTCCACAATAAAAAGAAAACTCTATGGCAACTCACCTGTTCTGTGACCTAGGCATTTACAATGCTGCTGGCACAACTGGGACTGAATTCCCTGGCACCTCACTGCAACTCTGTATGTTGTACGGTGTTGTGTGAGAGCCTTTTTTGCCCTGTTGACAGCAGTCAGTCAGAAGTATCACAATTTCTCTGGATCCTGTCAAGTTACTTATTTTTGTTAATTAGTGAGAAGAGTTTCTTTTCCTCCCCATGTCCCCAGAGAGGCAGTGGCATCACACAACTCCAATCTAACTGCTAACTAAGGGCAGTATATAGGGTGAATGGTGAGTATGTGTGGAGGTTAGAATCTATTTCATGACCTTGCCTGATGCTTCTGCCTGGATTAAATGTAGGTGTGATTGTCAGTATCATCTTTATCCACTTCTAATGCCTGAACAAGTTATAACAATGGAATCAGGGCTGGTGTTGTGGTGTAGTGGTAAAGCCTCCATCTGCATAGCTGGCTTCCCATATGGGTGCCCACTGAATCCAGGCTGCTCCACTTCCAATGCAGCAACACCCTGCTACTGCACCTGGGAAAACAGAGGAAGAAACCTCCATGTAGTAGTGCCATGTGGTAAGCACTTAAGGAAGGAACAGAAAGAATTTGCTGGAAACCCATGGGAGAGGTATGCTCTGAAACTATTGTAATCCAGGGAAATAGAACAGAATGCTTCATATCAAAAAGTCTTCACTGGAAATTCCCAGCGCCACTGGAATTACAAAAGAATACCCTGGAGAAGTAATTGGTTAGCAAGCACAATCCATGCACATATGCGTTGTGTAGTTGGATGCACAGCCATGATATATCTGCAACTCATGCTTTCCTTCTGTAACATAGCAAGAGACATAAGTTCACTGTGGGCATCTGTAGTCAGTTCCCCAACCTAGAAATGTGTAGCAAGGTCCACAAAGTTTAGATTTACCCAGAAAATATGCACTGCTTGCATTTCCAGGTTAAATGTTCTGCAGTTCCTAGTGAGAAGAATTAAATTTATGATAATTTGAGTGAAGTGAATTTCATTACATTCTCCCATTATGTGTCTTTGGCCTGTTTTTAAATGTTTGACAAAGCACTTTTGTATTCAATGTACTTTAAATTAATTGTGGGATTAATTTCATTAACTTTTTAAACTTTTGTGAATTTTGCATGTATTTATATCATGGATGAAGGACCATTGGGTTGGACACCTCTGTCTATCTGAAAGAATTACATAGTAAATTAATCTTACAAAGGGCAAGATAATGAAATTAAAACAAAATTCATGTTTAAACTCCCATTATTTACAAATAAATGAACTCCGCTAAGAATAGACTGGAAGTAAAACTGTCCATTAGCATAGTCTTGGACTGCTCAAGGTGGGACACCCAGGGGGCTGCTGAGTCTACCTGAACACATCAGTCAGCAATTCCTATATCTATATCTATATCTATATCTATACATATATAGAGAGAATCTTCAGTCCATGAGTTCACTTTCCAAGTGGCCTCTTTGGCCAGGGCTTAGTCAGGGCAAAGTCAGGAGCCAGGAACTTCATCCAGAGCTCCCACATGGGTCAGGGTCCAAAGGATTTGAAGCATCTTCTGCTGCCTTCCCAGAAGCATTAACAGGGAGCTGGATCAGAAGTGGAGCAGCCAGGGCTTGAACTGGTGCCTATATGGGATGCCAGCACTGCAGGCAGCAGTCTAACCTGCTGCACCATAGCTCCAGCCCCTATTTTTTTTATTTTTTACATGATACTTTATAAGATTTGGTATTGTTAGCTAGCTAGTTTTGGACATTGTCCATCTTATGTTTATATGTGATGAAAAATATTTTAAAATTATGTTCATATTTTAAGACATATATTCACATTTTTACTTATGTTTCCATATTGTAGTAAGTATGATATAAAATGGATAAAAACATTGCTATTGCCCTCAAGGAGATCATATCTAATTAGAAATAAAAAAGCAAATAAGTCCACATAAACATTTACTTATGTTCAGTTTGAGCTTGGACTTCCACGGTCCATTTGTTAAATACTTGGGTTGTGCAAAGGTTCATATACCAAATTGTCTTTTTTTTGTTTAGAATGATTCTGTTCAAGGGGCTGTTGTTACTATACAACCAGTCAAGCCTCAGCTTGTATCATAGGCATGTCATCTTGGAGAAACAGCTCAATTCTTGGCTCTTCTGCTTCCCAACAAGCTCCCTGCTAATGCTCTTGGGAAAGTAGCAGAAGAATCCAGATGGAGTTCCTGGCTCTTGGCTTTGGTTGAGCCAGCCCAAGACCTTTGTGGTCATTTAGGGAGTGAACCAGTGGATGGAAGATCTCTCTCTCTCTCCCTCTCCCTCTCCCTCTCCCTTTCCCTCTCACTTTGTCACTTGCTCTGCCTTTCAAATAAATAAATAATGCTTAAAAAATGGAGAATCATTCTGTACATACTTAGACCCAAAGCCTGTGTGTTAAGAACTTATTAAATTTCATATCTAAAATTGTCTTCTAGAGAGGATTTCATCCATCTTATTATAATATCATATGATGAGTGGTTATATACAGTTCATGTTTTGTAAGGAGAAAACTTGACACATCTCCAATTAGGTCATCAGTTGCTTGAAGGCAGATTGGAAAACCAAGGAATGTGTTGTGCATGATGGAGGTGAGAGTATTTTACTGCTTCTGCTCTCCATTCATCCCAAGACTAGCACAGCACTTGGGAAAGCAGTAACTCAGCCATGATGAATACAGTAAATCACATGATTACATATATTTGAATGAATGAGTTGGTACTATTTTTTTTTTCAGATTCTCAAGAAGGAAATTACAAGTCTGAAGTCAACAGCAAACCCAGGAAGGAAAGAAGAGCATTTACCAAGAGCAAATCTGAGGACTAGAAGCAGAATTTGCCCATCACAACTATGTGACTAGACTGAGGAGATACAAGATAGCAGAGAAATCTGGATCTCACCAAAAGACAGGTAAAGCTGGGCATTGCCAGGGATTGTTTTCATTGCTTTGGTTCAATAACCCTCTTGTACCATTTTTTTAAATATCTGGAATCATTGTACTTAATTATCAAAAGGAAGAGAGGTGTGCTATTTCATGATTAAGTATTTTTATCCAGCAAAATGAAAAAATTAAAAATCAGTGAGTGATTTTATGGGGAAAATACCCTATATTTATTGAGTTTAATGAAGAATTCTGTGTTCTGCAATAACGTTCTTTCTGTATTTGTTGGTGGTGGGGAGATGTGTTTGAAAATATTTATTTGACATAATGATGGAATGTGGTGAGGAATTTTGTATCCTTTTAAAATCTCCTATTTGGCACATTAGAAAGTTGACAACCCCTGAGTAGTTTCCTGTATTGGTCAGAATAGGGTATGTTATGTTGCACTAACACATTAGCTTCCGAGCCTCAATGGCATGATACAAAAATGCTCATTTGCTCACTCTCCATACTGAGTCTCCTAAGTCCAGGCTTCCAAATAAACACTCCCAGCATGGTGGCTCTCTGGCATCTCCACATACAATGTCATTGGGAACCGCGGAAGGTGAGAAGACATTGCAAGTTCATGCATTGGCCCTTGAATGTTTGCATGGGCCATGTCCTGCATTAGTGTTTCAGGTTCAGAAATCATCAAATGGTGCAGTGTAGAGGAAATGATGGAATACAAGGGCACATAGACCATTCATGAATATTTTTGTCCCATTACTCCAAATATTTTTGAAATTGTGCTGGTCTTGGTAATGCAAATTTCTGCTACTAACTCAGAGAACACTTTGGAATTATTAAAAATTTGCAGATCTCAAATAGTAAGACCTAAAAAGTACTATTACATTAATTTTGTATTAATTACTTCTTAGATCCCCTTCTTGAATTTTATTTGGATGACAAATGGTCTCCTCTTATAGTGCTCCCAGCACACTCTTTGTAAGGGCTGTGACTTGCCCTGGGAGAATCTAGCCGACTGATGGTTACAAGTTGTTAAGCTTTAGAAAAACATTCCTGAAAGTCAAATGCAAAGATCTTTATGGACAGTGCAGTTATGATTGCCACTGTGAGGGCTGGAGTCTCATTTCTTCTTTCACTGTATACACCTCCTCCAGGATCCCACTGGAACCAAGGAAATATCAACAGAGTGCAGACATATGAATGCATATCTTAGGCGAGCAAACTGTTCATCTAATTTCTTAAATCATCTTCTTTCCTCTGTTAATTTTACATCTCAACCCTGTTAGGTTATTTCTGGGTGGGGAAAACGCATACAGGAACACTTTCATGTGTTTTTATACATTGCCAGTTTGTGTTTTATTAATCATGACTAGTACCTATCTTATGGAGCATAACATTTCCTTCCCTTGAACTTCACAAAGTTCCATCTATAAATGTACAGCTTCTGGCATGCAAGAAAGCCTGTTCCAAAATCTACATCATCAGACAATAGTTTCACTATGTTTTCATTTCTAAAAAAATGTTTACTTAAAAATTTATATACTTATTTGAGAGGCAGAGAGAAAGAGAGGGGGCATTTGTTTTATTGTTTTTTAATCTCTAAAAATTTATTATTTATTTACTTATTTGAGAGCAGAGAGTGAGAGAGAGAGGGGATACAACTATTGCTTGCTCATACCCCAAATGTACATAATGATCCTCGGCTGGGGGCTGAAGCTGGGAGCCAAGAATCCAATCCAGGTCTCCCTTGTGTGTAGTAAAGAACTCATTGACTGAAGCTACCACAGTGGCATCCCAGGATCTATGTTTTTTTTTTAAACTTTTATTTAATGCATATAAATTTCCAAAGTACAGCTTATGGATTACAATGGCTTCCCACCCATAACGTCCCTCCCACCTGCAACCCTCCCCTTTCCCACTCCTTCTCTCCTTCCATTCACATCAAGATTCATTTTCAATTATCTTTATATACAGAAGATCAGTTTAGCATACATTAAGTAAAGATTTCAACAGTTTGCTCCCACATAGAAACATAAAGTGAAAAATACTGTTTGAGTACTAGTTATAGCATTAAATCTCAATGTACAGCATACTAAGGACAAAGATCCTACATGAGGAGTAAGTGCACAGTGACTCCTGTTGTTGACTTAACAAATTGACACTCTTGTTTATGGCCTCAGTAATCACCCTAGGCTCTTGTCATGAGCTGCCAAGGCTATGGAAGCCCCCATGAGTTCACTGACTCTGATAATTTTTAGACAAGGCCATGGTCAAAGTGGAAGTTCTCTCCTCCCTTCAGAGAAAGGTACCTCCTTCTTTGATGACCCGTTCTTTCCACTGGGATCTCACTCGCAGAGATCTTTCATTTAGTGTGTGTTTTTTTTTTTTTTTTTTTTTTTTTGCCAGAGTGTCTTGGCTTTCCATGCCTGAAATACTCTCATGGGCTTTTTAGCCGGATCAGCATGCCTTAAGGGCTGATTCTGAGGCCAGAGTGCTGTTTAGGACATCTGCCATTCTATGGGTCTGCTGTGTATCTCACTTCCCATGTTGGATCATTCTCTCCCTTTTTTATTCTATCAGCTAGTATTTGCAGATCTATGTTAGCAGGAAGCTGGAGCCAGGAGCTGAGCTGAACCCAACCTGAAATGCAACCAACCAACATCATAACTGCTAGACTAAAGCCTATCCTGTGTTTTGTTCTTGTTTAATTATTTCTTTAACTGGGAACAGGATAATAGGCAGGGGGAACCACAAATTTCTGTCATTATAGGGAGACAGTGGATGCCAGGAAAACTGTGTTTTATGTAATACATGAAGGAAGTCAGAAATTGGAGCTTGCTTCCAGTGTTTGTAATGATGGCTGTAATACTGAGCCTTCAGTGAAGAACAAAGTAGAAACTCTGTGTTTACTAACCTGGGGATCTTGGTTTTCCCCAGCTATCTAGTCATTCAACAGAAGTTTCACTTTTGTCTGAGCGTAATTCCTTTTGAAAAGTAATTCTATAAGCCTAGTTTAAGAGGTTTTGAAGGTATTTGGATATTTTTTCTTTTTTTTCCTAAATGACTTAACACTATTGAAAAATAATGATATGTAAATATGATATATCTACATATGTACACATACATGCACACACAATTTTATTCACTTCTTTGAAGTCCCTTTTCAATGCCATGATGTTAAGCCAATGCTGTATAACAAACCACTCTACACATTGCTGGATTTTAATGGATACCGAGCTGTAATTCACTCACAGTCTTGTGTGTCAGATTTGGACTGGAATTACTTGGCCAGCTTTATTGCCAGCAGTACCTGGCTTCCTCATGAATCTGCACTTGGCTGGTGGGTTGACTATGAGCTGACTGGGCCTCCACTAAAACAATGCATTTCTGTTGCGTGTGTTTCCATCTTCTACCAGGATAGGATGGAATCCCAATCTTCAGGTGGTTGTAGAAGCATTTCCAGGAGCTCTGAGAGGGAAAGCTGCAACATGCAAGGTTTCTCAAGTCTTTGCTTGGATCATATTGGCTAATTTAGTTTCATTGTCCAGAGAAAGTCATACAATCAAACTCAGTGTGGACAGGAGAAGGAGATTATGTCATTGCCAGACATTCCTAGAATAATCTAAGCATGGCCTTGGTGGAAAAAAACAAACAGCAAACACTTGAGTAATAATTATCTTTTCAAAGAACTGAACAGTTGATATTATGCAGATTATATTTATTCCACAAATATTTAGGTGCAGTTTTGCAAGATAATATGAAAAGGAGATGAATGTGTGTGGAATGTAAATTCCTAAGTAAAAGTAAGTCCTCAAGGTTCCTCAGAAAGAATTAAATTGTTATGCAAAACTCTGATTAGAATTCTGAGATTTGCCATTTAGAATTGTGTATTGTTAGGTAAGTAACAATCTTTTCAAGACACAACATGGAGATTAAAATTACATGCTCTTTCTTTTCCTTAGAATTCTATATTATAATGCATATGAAAGAGTGTTTAGCATAAAGTACAAAACCTAACCATCAACCACAGGAGGAAAATCTTTGATATACATGTCAACTAATTATTTTATAATACAAATATACATTGAACCAGGTGTTAGATGTAAAACATTGTTACATTAAGCTAGAAAAGTAACTTCCTGAACACACAGAAGAGGCAAAAACTGAACCAGTAACAACACTGTCATCAGCATTGAATGTCACAAGAGAAGAATGGCAGGATCATATATGAATATGTTCCTGGTTTCATCAAATGCTAATTTATTCTTACCCTTCTGCACCTGTACAGAATCTTAAGATTCTAAAGGCTTTATTTTTATTCTCTGGGCTGAATTTTACTGTGCTGAACTTATCAGAAGAAATATTGTAGGTTTCAACCATCAATTTTTCTATTATTAGTGACCCAAATATGTATTTCTCCAAAATGCCAGGGTTTCATCCAGTAAAATATTTTCAATTTATTTTCTGAAGATTGGGCTCTTAAAGTTATAGACATAGAGTTATACACAGAATCCTACCTTCTTAAATTGGGAAGCTGCCTGTCCTAGTCCATTGGGGTTGCCAGAGCAAAATCCCATAGACTGGATGGTTTACAGACAGCATAAACTAGTTGCTCACAGCTGAAGACTGGGATCAAGGTCAAGACACCAGCAGAGTTTCTGTCTGGTGAGAGCCTGCTTCGTCCTGGACAGCAACCATCTCACATGGGTGAGAGGTTTGGCTGAGCTCTCTGGGGCCTGTTCTACAAGGCACCCAGCCCAATCACCAGTGCTCTGCCCACATGAGCTAATCACTCTCAAAAGTCCTTATTTTTTTCAAAAATAATTTTTTTGAAGGGCAGAAAGAGAGAGAGAGAGAGAGAAATAGAGAGAGACAGAGTGATCTTCCATCTGCTTGTTCACTCTCCAAATGGTCACAAATGCTTCAAGCTGGTCCAGACTGAAGCGAGGAGTCCAGGACTCCATTTAGGTCTCCTGTGAGGATAGGTGGCAGAGCCCAAGAACTTGGGCCATCTTCTGCTGCTTTCCCAGGCCCTTCAGCAGGGAGCTGAATTGGAAGTGAGCAGCTGGGATTTGAACTGGAGCTCATATGGGATGACAGTGTTGCAGGCAGATACTTAGCCCACTGCACCAGTGTATGGGTCTCAGACCTCACTTTCAATGTGGTCACCTTCACAGCTAGGATTCTAACATTTGGATTTTGGAAGGTACAAATGTTCAAACTACAATATAGCTATTCAATTACTTTAATTTTTCACTAATGCCATACATGCTTATCATGTAATCTTCATCTTGTTCTTGAGTGATACTGTTTTGCAGGATTTCTACATATTAAATGCTCTAACTAAAGAGTGCAAGATCTCTCTCTCTCTTTCCTTCTCCATAACTCTGACTTTCAAATAAATTAACAAATTTTTAAAAACTCTAACTACATATATGCATTCTTTTCTTTTGCATTCTTCAATGCACACTTTGAAATACTCTGATTTAGTATAGGAAGTAACACATACTCACAAAGGAATATTGTATCTAACCTCATACTGATCAGTGTTTTCCTTCACTTAAATAGGATCCTCTAAATCTAACAAATGCTTGTCTTGACTTTGCCAAAGCTTTTCAAGATTGAAGTACAAAGAAATTCTATCCTGCAAATGGGAAAAACAGTAAGTGTTAACTCATCTAGCTCCATGGTAGGATTGTTTAAGAGAAATAATTTTCTCTTAAATGACAACTGACTTCAAAATCAAAACTAGTCTTTGACATGTTTTCATACGTAAATTTATTGTGATTACCTATGAAACATCCATTTCTATAACTGATGTCATTTTTAGCTACCTCTACCTTATTTATTGAATGCATTTCATAATAAGCCTTATGCATGTCATCCTGAAGGCTTGCAATCCTTGGGTCTCATTTTAGAAAAAACCTAAGATGCACTAAATCCCTAAACATCTCTCAAATTTTCAGAATTCCATCTGTTAGAGTGGTTGTGAAATTTCTCAAAGAAGGCAGACTCTTAAATGGTGTCTTTTTCCATAATCCACCTGGTCAACCAGGAAGAAAACAAGAGGCTCGTATTGAAAACTAGCGCCACTAAAAATGCTAACCTTAGAGCAAAGATGAGGTTCAAGTCTTTTAATTCTAAAGCTGTGTTGTTGAGCAGTTATCACTGCAGTCACTCTCCAGCTTCTAAATCAAAGCTTCCAGCTTATGGCCTATCCTCCCACATCGCCAAGAGCCACAGCTAATAATCTTCAATTGGCAGGGCCACTTAGAATATTTTGAAGAGCCATTCGGTCTAAAGATGTGCCAAAGTATTTTAAAGTCTGATGAGCTTATTCTGGCTTTTTTTTTCTTCATCCAGATAAGCTTGGAGAAGTCTCCTGCCAGATATCTGGTATCTGACATGGGGAAGAAAGAGAAAACAGCTGCATGGGAATTTAACAGGGAGTGGTAAAAAGGACATTTTTACAGAGTGAAGGCTGCCAAATGTAGAAGGAGTGGGAGATCCTGCCACTTCACAAAATCTTTTCCACAGTGCTAATCAAAGGTACAATATTGTGAATTTGTAAAGCAGCTAAGATGAGCGAAATAAACATACTGAGATCTCAATACCTCTGCCAAGATAAATGGAAAATCCCCACCTTGTTGGATTATACTGCATTGGCAGTAATGAGAAGGATTATGTTTTGTCTGCTACTCATAAATCATTCAGTGGTTCAATGCCAAGTATTTTCAAAATAGCCATCCACTTTTTTTTTGGATGAGTATAAAAAAGGAAATAATTTTGTACACCACATAAACAGTGGGTTTGTCTTTTGCACATTTTTAACAGAATTTTTCCCATTCTAGGTTTATTTATGTAAATTACTATGAAAACACTGTTTAATTGATTTTGTTTCTGTGAGCCACCATATTGTCTGTTCAACTGTTCTGAGATGGCCTTTCTTACCAATGATTTTATAATAGTGCTTCTTTCTTTGGATTAGTATTTAACACTTACCTGGAGTAAAAGTCAGTTGCTTCTTTTGTGTAGGTTCCACATACACAAATATTCCCATAACTTATGAAAAACTCAGAGATGCATTCAATTTAAAGTAAATGTTATACTTTAAATCATTTTATCACTCCCAATTTTTATGCATAATATATACTTTTTAGTTTTTTGCTTTCTTCCAGTTATTGAAATTACTGACTATTTTGGGGAAAAGAATCAATGTGTACTCATACAATAGTAATGATAATCTTTGAATTCTTATAATGATTTTAGATATAAGGGAGTAGTCTCTAAATTAGTAAATGAAATGATCAGTGAGAGCTCACATATATGCTGATAACAACCAGAACATATCAGTATTAATTCAATTAGATTCAACCATAATAAGTTGATAATGTCCTATGGTTCTTTACTCATAAATTTGGTGAGATTCACTGTTTTAACTTAATACATTTGATAGATATGCCTGAGATGGTGGGGAAAGCAGAAGTTGTTAATTATAATAATGTATATTGATAGCGATTTTCTAATTGTTTTTAAACACCATTGAGAGATTAGGTAAGATGATGAGAGAAAAAAAAAAAACTGTCATTCTAGTTCGTCTTGTTAATTTGAAAAAGACCAAAATGTGAATTAATGCTATAACTAGTACTCAAACAGTACTTTATACTTTGTGTTTCTGTGTGGGTGCAAACTGTTGAAATCTTAACTTAATATATACTAAATCAATCTTCTGTATATAAAGATAATTGAAAATGAATTTGATGTGAATGGAATGGGAGAGGGTTGGGGAGATGGGAGGGTTGCGGGTGGGAGGGAAGTTATGGGTGGAAAAAGCCATTGTAATCCATAAGCTGTACTTTGGAAATTTATATTTATTAAATAAAAGTTAAAGAAAGAAAGTTAAAAAAAGAAAAAGAAAGAAAGAAAGAAATTACTTTGAATACAAAGATTTCATATCTTCAGTTATTACCATCTAGGGATTTTATAACAAAGTAAAGGAAAAAAAAAAACAAGTAACTTAGTTTTGATATTTTCACTCAATTTGCTAAAGTCCCATATGATGTACTAAGTAAATGATATTTCACTTTGAATAACTAAAAGCAGTATGTAATTTTTCACCTTCTATGGAAATGTGGTTATTCGGAGTAGTGTGTTTCCATTGTAATTAAATGTTAATGAAATAAGTAATTTTAATTGAACTGCATCAGGTAAGAAGAAATTATTAGCATTTATTACGACTGTGACATTTCAAAAAGATCAAGTTAAAAGGAATGAAACTTCTATCAACTTTGCTCATCACATGAATTATTATTTTGGTTCATTTTTGGAAAGAAGAATGAAATTTTATAAGATTGGTTTTAATAATATCAAGAGAATAACATTTCTTACATCAAATTTGATTTGTCACAACAAGAGTTATTTATTGTTCAACATGTTATTTATCCGTGGCTCACAATAGCTATTGAGTATTCCGTTTTCTTAAAAACATGTGCAGGGAGGCATTTGGTGTAGAGATTAAGACTCTGCTTGGGACACCTGCAATCTCAAATTAGAGTGACTGGGTTCAACTCCTACCTCCATTCCTGATTCCAGTTTCCTGGTTAATGCACATCCTGGGAGGCAGCAGGTGAAATCTCAAGTTGTTGAGTCTCTGCCACACATTTGGGATATACTGACTGAATTCTTTGTTCCTGGTTCGACCTGTCCCAGCCTTGGCAGTAGCTAGCATTTGGAGAGTGATCCACTGTGTGGGAGATCCCTCTTTGTTGCCCTCTCCATATGTGTGTGTTTGAAATAAATAAAGATGCAAAAAAAAAAAAGTGGGATAGTAAAACTTGTATGACTACATCAAAGAGCCTGTTTTACAAGATTGATTTGTAAAGGGGAAGAACAAATTTCAGACCTGAAAACTATAGAGACAGAAAAATGATTCATCTATCACCAGCTTTGTGCTAAAATCAATGATAAAGGCAAGAGGCAGCCCAATAAATAAGGTTTCAATTGTTAGTCATGCAATGTATTCTATCCCTATACCCCTTCCATCAAGCACCCCCAACCTCAACGCACAGCTGCAGATCTGCAGAGCAGAGTTTGCTGGTGGCTTGGAACTAGCTGAGGGACCCCACTGGCAGGCAGACATACATCTATCCTTGCAGGCAGGAGAAGTGGAGAAGCTTTTCTTTTCTTTCTTTTTCATTCTTACCTTAAAGCATTCTTGGTTTGAATTCTTCACTTCAACTCCCCACCTTGCCGCTGAACTACTTGGTTAAGTCTGCAGGGCCTGTTGACATTGGGTTGTCTACATTAACTGCCAGAGCTGCTTTAGTAACTGGGATATGATTAAATCTGAAAATTGTATTTGTACAATGATTCTTTGCATGTTTTCACATCTTTATGATGTGAATAAATATTTGTTAGACAGTGTCTACAGTGTTTCAAGTGCCCAGACAAAAATGGAAGCAGTTGGAACATTAAATCTAAAAATTCCAGATGTGTAGAGATATCTGGATATGTCACTGAAATTTCCAGATTTTATCCAGATGTTTGGTGTTACGGTTGTTTGTTACTACAAAAGTCATACATTTATGGTACAATATAAATATGGATTGTGACATTATATAGATTCAGCTTCCCATTAACCTAATTCACTGTGGCCACCTTAGGAAATTATGAGACACTATAGATTCATATATAATTTGTTTTCTTCTCTAATCTAATGTAAAGCCTAGGAGACCAGATATTATACACATTAAATGCAAATGTGTTTCTCAAATTCTAATGTACTCATTGAAACAAATTTCAAAGCAAAATTCTCTTGGCTGCTTTCTTCATTAAATAGAGTCAAGATTGAGAACACGTATTTTTCTATTTACTTGAGGAGCAATTGGATCATTTAAGCAATGTAAATATTAAATACTTAATTGACTAAGGAGACTTCTTCATGGTAGTATGTTTGGAAGAGTAAAGTTTATAATTGGGGATTTTAAATATTTACCACTATAACAATCTATTTCATGGTTTAGTTATTTTTATTAGGCAGATTTTGTTGAAAAATACCATCTGCATGCACAGATATTAATAACTTAGAAGGTTTGACTCATGTATTTTTGAGTTCATGAATAACAACCTCTCTACATTATTCCTATTTGGATTTGATTTTATCTAATTTGTTAATCACACTACATAACATGACACACTTTACACAGTCTTACCTTAAATCCAGTCTTGAAAAAAGGGAATTATTTAAAAACCCTCCTTTATTCAGCACTTTTCAGAAAAGTTGCAGATCAGAAGATATCATTGACTTGAACCCCAAATAAAATCAACATCAGCACTCATGAAATGCATGTACCATGCTCAAATAGTCTATTTGCTTTGCTGTATGTAATATATTTGGTAAGTCTACTTTCTAGAACCAAGGTTCTAGTCTAGGTTACTGGAGTAAAAAAATGTGGAAGGCACACAGGATGCTAACAATGGCAAGGATGTGTGATTCTCAGAGGGAAAATCTCTGTGGTCACAGTCATGTGACAGCTCAACAGTACAGAGTTTTAGGCCACCACTTGGATGGGGGACTTTTAATGACACTCACAGAACAGTGAATGGTTTAGGAACATTCTGTAGAATATGAGTATGGAGCTAACCTTTACAATTCTCATCACTGATGAAAGCCTCATGCATTGCCAATAACCATCTGTTGTTTACAAGACTCCCATTTATTCATTGGGAATGCCTTAAGGGCAAGGTCTGCATTTTGTTTTCTGTGCATTCCTCACTCAATCCCTCTCATCATGGTTCTACACAGTACTGGTACCTGGACATTAAGTAACATCTTAGAACCTGTGAATGGATGAATAAATAGAGATCACAAGTCATTAAGAAAACATGGATTCTTTTCATTCTATATAACTTATATGGTTTGTAAATTCAGCATACTGTATGCACCATGCTTGTATATTTTCACTAAAAATCATTAGAATACTTACTTTGAAAAGCTGAAGTCTTAGGCATTTGGATGAATATACAAAGGAATTTCAAAAAGTTTGTGGAAAACAAAATTAAAAGTTTATCTTGGTGCAAAAAGTTTTGAACACAGTGAATAATTTTTTTCAAAACACACACTTTCCCTAAACAGTTTGAAGACACTTCATACTTCAGCTGCCATCAAAACAAAAGTAGAAAAAGAATTGTTTTTCATTCCAGTCAATGAAGCTGGATTAATACAGTGATACTAACTTGAACTATAAAAAATTTTTATGTATAAATCTACCATGATGTCATTATTTTAATAGAAATATTTATAATCTGGAATTACTTTTTCAGATTGTGTTTGCTCATCTTGAGATGAAGATAAAGAAACATGTCTCCCCCAAATCTTCCTCTTATTTCAACTCACTCCAATCTTCTTAGTATATTTGAATGGAAATGGAAATGTGTTGACTTTTGGACTTCTGTACTTGTCCTTCCATTTTATATAAGATGTGTCCATTATGTATCTGTTGTCTTTTTTGTTCCATTACTAACTTTGTGGAAGTTTGGTATCAAATATGCAGTGTAACTCTCAAAGAAATAGTATATAAGGCATTACAATTACTATAAAATCATCAAAGGTTTT